GCCAATTGGTAGTCTGATGACCTGATTTTAAATTCCATCCGTTCACTTAACATCTATGTGACCTTGGGCAATCACTTAGCCCCTAATCAGCATAGCTCCCTAGCTGCAAAATAAAAGTGCTGGAGTAGATGGCCTTTGAAGTACCTATCCTCTCTAATTCTATTATTTTATGACTTTAATAAAACTTGAAGTTCATGGATAAAATGCTTCAGATGTCTACACTGGGAGTTCCCTCAACCAACGAATTCACAGGTCTAGACAAAAACAAACAAAAATAGCCCCGACAAAATTAAAGGGACACTAGTTGACTCCAAAGCCCTGATATAATAGTTAAAGTTTGTGCTTTGTGCAAGGTAAACAGGAACAAATTTGTCTCCATACGGGATGTTCAGGGCCCAAGACTCACTAGGATCCAATAATTTAGCCCATTCTCACTGAAATCAAACCTATGTAACATTAGTGGTTTTTCAGCTCTGTGGTATAAGGCATACACACATGTGTAAGTATGAATTATCTGTGGGGTTCAGGAAATTATTTCAAGATGTTGCATCTTATTCACTCAGCCTTCCTGAGTCAGGCTTCTCCAGCTGAGAATGACTTGAAAGAATAACTTAAATGTCCCTTCAGGAATTCCACTAAAAACAGCACAATAGACATATGAAGAAATTCATAACAATGCATTCCTGAGTGTATGAATTAACAACTCTGCACCATGTATGCTCCACGTCTCTGAATATAATAGGACCACAGCTCCAGAACTGGAAGGACTCTAAGAGGCCAGCTGGTCCCATCCTCTCATTTTATGGATGAGGAAACTGAGGCTCAGGAGGACTAAACAACTTTCCCAAGGTGGTAAGTATTAGCAGTGAGATTGAAAATCAACTGCTTTGACTCCAGAGTGAATGTTCTTTCCACAGTAACCCCCTTCCTCCTGAGTCTTTTAGTGTTACTTCTTAGGATTAATGCTGCCTAAGACACACTTGATTCAATCAAAAAACACATCTTTTTTTTAAGATAAGACTATAGTGTGTACATCAAAGTGATATTCATTCCAACTCCATTCCATTCAATATTATTCAATTAAAAATACCTTAATTGCTGTGCGTTCTTGGCACTGAGCAAAGTACCGGGCACATAAACATGCTGTTACTGTGCAGTCATTTCAGTCTTGTTCTACTCTTTGTGACCTCATCTGGGGTTTTCTTTTTTGTTTCTTTGTCTATTTTTTGGAAAGCAATCAGAGTTAAATGACTTGTCTAGGTCACACAGCTAGTAAGTGTCTGAGGCCAGATTTGAACTCAGGTCCTCCTGACTCCAGGACTAGTGCTCTATCCACTGTGCCACCTAGCTTCTCCCTCCCATTTGGGGTTTACTTGGCAGAGATACTGGAGTGGTTTGCCATTTCCTTCTCCAGCTCATTTTATAGATGAAGAAACTGAGACAAACAGGGTTAAGTGACTTGACCAGGGTCACGCAACTAACAAGTGACTGAGGCTAGATTTGAACTCAAGCCTTCCTGACTCCAAGCCTGGCACTATCCGCTATACCACTTATACCTATACATATGATATACATATACATATGTGTATATGTGCATGTATGTATATGCATATACATATAGGAATAAACTCTGGTTGTATATATGTGTATTCTCTTTATCTCTAAAGAGAAGCCACCAAACTAGATACAGTTAAGAGTGTGAACAAAGCTGACTTCATAAAATCTGAAATTAGAGATGCTTTTGTTTGGCAAACTTTTCCTAAAGTCATATCCTGACTCTGCTTTTGCCTGGAATGTCCCTCTCCATGTAGGATCCCCAGTCCTCTATGCCTGCCTTCTGAAATCCTGATTGTCCTAAAAGTCCGACTATAACGTTGCTGCCTCCGGGAAAATGCTCCATATTTCCCCCTAGGGAGAAATAATGCTTCTCCTCTTTCCTAGCAGCTTGCTGATACCTCTCCTATTGCCTTCCTCATTGAATGTTTTCTATTTTAGTATTTGCATATATTCCTGCCTGTCTTCCTAGGCATTAGGCTTTTCTTAGCCAGGACACAAGGTTATTCATCTTTATCTCCACCCCTTCCCACAACCACCTCCCCACACACATGGAAGGCTCTCCCTCCTCATCTCCACCTCATAGAATCCCTGGTTTCTTTCTAGGTTCATTTCAAGCACTGCCTTCTACATGAAGCCTTTCCTGATTCCCCAGTTATTGACGACTCCCTTGTGAGATTACCTTATATTTATTTTGCATGTCTTTTGTACAGACAAATATGTACATATTATCTGTCAAGTCCTTAAGGGAAGGAACTGTTTGATTTTTGTCTGTTTTCCCAGAATCTAACCATAGTAGATACTTAACATTTTTTTAAACAAATGATATAAAATGCTTCACAAATTTTAAAGTGCTATAGAAATGTTAGTCATTATCATCATTGTGATTGATGGCCTAATAGTACATAATCTGTACTTAATAAATGATTGTTGAATCTAATTGAATCTGGCACCCCCAGCCTCTCCTTTCTTCCCTTTTGGTCTCTGCTCCTGAATGGGCTGTCACTCTAGCTAATGTGGATCTAGAAAAGTAAGGTCTTGGCACTAATGTCCTTGGCACTACCAAAGGGATTAGCAACAGAAAATGATGTGGTTTTATTAGGAGCCATTACATTACAGAAGATTCCAATGGCAAGCAGATGCTTGCCATTGGATCTCTAGGACATATGGGCCCTGAGCCTTTCCACTGGACTTGAAGCTGACATCGTCTATCGTCAATCGATGTGATCTCCTCTGTTAGAAGGTGAGCCCCTTGAGAGCACAGATTGCCTTCCTTTTTTTTATTTTTATCCTCAGCCCTTTGCATCTAGTAAACATTTAATAAATGCTTTTTGTTTCATCATTCATTCATTCTTTCATCTTGTGTCTCACCTCTTTGGTGGTACCTCCATGCCTCCCCTCTGGTACTCAATGAGATCTCTGCTTTCCACCTCTTTCAGATTTCCTCCCCCATACCCGCTCTTAGGAAAGGCTAGAAAAATCCAGTTCACACCAGGTAGTAAATCGATAGTTTCATGTGGTGTTTTCCTAGGGGTACTAACATTTTATCAAGATCAATAACAGACCTTTAACTGTAAAATTTTTTAGAACTAGTGAACCAGTATAGAAACCATGGGGCAAGGGAGGGCAGGGAAGAGGCATTCTAGCACTCCTGAAATACCTTACCACCATTGAGATGATTGTTTCTGTCAGCTACTCGTCAAGCTCATTTGGGCCTTAATCAGACTTGAATATTGGCCTTGTCCTCTTTGAGCACATGAGAGAATCCTTAGTTCCTCCTTTCTCCCTCTCCATTTCAAAGGCAAACCTTCTCCAGGAAACACATTTGGAATCCTCTCTTTTCATTCAAATGAAAATAGCCAAATGCTGAGATATCATGGATATGAACAGTACACCAACAACATAGACTGAGATTCAACCCCATCAGTTGGGCAAGTCAAATTTTTACAAACACCTCAAACTTTTCTACCAAATAACAAAGAGCTCAAGATGATATGGCACTTGAGGTTTTCGGTATCATTTAAGTATGACGTCTTATTGAAGCAAGGATCTTATCTTCGTTTTCTGAGTGCCCATCTATCAGCTACATTTTCTTTTAAAAAAAAATGTGGCAATATCCCAAATGATGAAGGGTCAGCAAACTGTGGTTGAAAGGGCAAATCTAGCTGCTGCCTGTTTTTTTGTATAGCCAGAGAGTTAAGAATATATTTATTCATTTGTAAATTATTTACATTTTCAAATACAATAAAATGATGTTAAAGTGTAAAAATGCATTCTTAGCTGGATGGTTGTACAAAAAGAGGTGGAAGACTGGAGTGGGCCATAGTTTGGGGACCCCTGCTTAAATATCATGTCCTAGGCCCTAGGGCAATGTGCTAGGGTCAGAAAATGAAGAACATGCATTTTCTGTCTTATGGGGAATTCATACTTAGTTCCCTAGAGCTCTATGATCCCTGTGTGAGAATTCTATCCTCCAATGAAAATGAAAATCTGACTATGCTTTACAAAGCTAAATCAGCAATTAGGGCAGATAGGTGGTACAATGGATAGAACACTGGGCCTGGAATCAGGAGGACCTGAGTTCAGGTCTAGCTTCAGACACTTACTAGGTGTGAGACCCTGGCCCATTCATTTAGCCCTGTTTGCCTCAGTTTCCTCATCTGTCAAATGAGCTTGAGAAGGAAATGGCAAACCACTCCAGTATCTTTGCCAAGAAGACCCCAAATGGGGTCACAGAGAGTCAGACATTACTGAGATGACTCAACAACATTAATGAGTTGGAGCTTAGAGCTAGAAGGACCTCGTCATCAAGTTCAATTCCTTTATTGTACAGATGATGGAACTGAGGCTCAGAGATCTTAAGTGACTTTTAACATAGTGACTGGGCATGAGAGGCATGTTTTGAACCCAGGACTTCCTGATATCTAGTACAGCAATCTAGACACTACTCCACACTGTCTTTCTGTCATAAGACAAAGTTGATTTAAAATATAAACAGATTCTCCTCATCTATAAAATGTGATTAATAATTATATCAAACTTACAGGATTGTTGTGAGGATCAAATACCGATAATATATGCAAAGTGCTTCTCAAACCTTAAAGCATTATAATAATACTAGTTTATCATTTTATTGTTATTATTATTATATCCTCCCTTCTACTTCAAGTGTCCTTCTACACTGGCAAGGTAAGTGTATTTTTGTCCTAAGGTCCAGAAAGTTTGATACTTTCTACATTAATATAAATAAAAACATTGAAAAAAAAACACTCTAGACACTGTGAGTTCAGAGCTGTATTTTTTTCAGAATGCATTCTCTGTGTTCTTCTCCCCGTAGGCCTGTGCCTGATGGGAAGCGTGGCAGTCTCTCCAATATATAACCCTATAATACCAGTGTAAAGGTTGTTAAATTCTGTAATCAATTCTGAATAATATGATGAGCCTACCTGTAAATCCAGCTTTGCAGACACAGTTGAAGCTCCCAGGGAAGTTCTGGCAGATGGCCCCATTCTTGCATGGGTTGGGTAGGCATTCATTGATATCTCGCTCACAGGCCCGTCCAGTGAATCCTTCTGGGCAACTGCAAGAGAAGCCTCCCACCAGATTGTGGCAGGTGCCACCATTGTGACAGGGGGATGGCAGGCATTCATCAATGTCCGTCTCACACCAGCTGCCAGCGTATCCTGGCAGACACTTACAAAAGAAAGGCTGGAGAGGCTCATTGGTCACAATGATGACTGGGAGACTTTCGTGACTCTTCATGGTAGGACTCACTGCCAGCCTCCTTAGACAGCTCCCTCCATTCTGACAAGGACCATGGACACATGGATCGTGGTCGACAGACTCTACCCTGACCCCACTTTGCCGGAGAAGGATGTCCTTGATGCTCTCAAAGAAGGTGGCCACACCACTTGGATTCACATACTGGTTGATATTTCTCTTCACAGCGGCCAGCAGGAAGGTCCTATTGTTCTCCTCATAGGCTCCATACAGCTGCACAGCAGTCCCAAGACCTGTCAGCTGGGAACTGGCAATGCGTAGGAAATGGAGGTAGTGATTGGTCAGAAAATCCCTCACTGTTGCCACATTGAGGCGGAGGAGGATACTGTTATCCACAGTAGCGTTGGTAAACCCAGCAAAGAAGACTCGGATATTACTGCTGACTGCACTGTGCAATCCATCATTACTTAGGACGGTCAGGTCAAAGGTGCCATCTGTGGACCTGGCTTGGGAATTCAGGTCACAAGTGCCGCTGGGAATGCTAAAGAGACTCGTTACTCCAGAAGTCAGGGAACAATGAAAACTATCCAGCACATCTGGATCTTGAGGCTTCACACTGCCTAAAATCCCACCCGGGAACAAGTTACTGAAATAATGAACAAAGATCTCAACTGTTCTAGGTTCAGATGGATTGTCATTCTGGTCCATGACTCGGATATGGACAGTGCCTGTGGAAGACATCTGAGGAATGCCAGAGTCTCTGGTAATCACTGATAGATAGAAGTCACCAATTTGTTCTCTGTCAATCTCCCTGGTTGTAGTCAGAACTCCTGAAGTGCTGAGACTAAAATAGCTGGTGGCTGGCCCTGTGCTTAGCAAATAATATGTAAAGGGACCTTGATTTGGAGGGAGATCAGGGTCTGTGGACTGAAGGGTCATCACCAGAGTTCCTGCACGCTTGTTTTCCATGACCTCACCTTCCCTGATGGATAAGGTGGGTCCATTGTCATTGATATCTTCCAGGGTTACCAATAAGGAGGCACTTCCTGTAGCTGAGGGGGTTCCCAGGTCCACAGCTAAGACAGTCAGGTTATAGACAGGAAGGGTTTCTCGATCAAGCTCGGCAGTCACAGTAATCTGTCCTGTCTGGGGATTAATGGAAAAGGCACCATTTTCATTCCCTGAACCAATAAAATAGGAAAACCTGCTCCAGCTGGGCACAGAGTCTGAGTCGAAGGCACTTACAAAGGTCACATGTGTTCCTATAGGCACACCTTCACTGATCTGTACATTATAGATCTCCAGGCTAAAAACGGGCGGGTCATTGGCATCGAGTATGGTGATATTCACAGTCACTTCATCTACATCTGCACCACGGATACTCCCAGAATTTTTGGCCAGGACTTTCAAAGAAATCCTCTCTTCTTTTTCTCGATCAAGAATTCCAGAAACATAAATCTGCCCAGTTCTTGAATTAATCTGGAAACCTTTCTTTCTGCTAGTACCAAAAATCAGGTAGTGGACCTCCCCATCAGCTCCCATGTCACGATCACTAGCAAACACTTCTCCAACGATAGTTCCTTTGGATGCTGCCTCAGAGATTTCAAAATAATAAAGTTTGGAAACAAAGCGTGGTACGTACTCATTGGTTCCTTTCAACTGGATGTTCACAGTAGCAAAGCTGTACCTCTCTTCATCAGGGACATTGAAGGCCTTGATTGTAAGATGGTAACTCTGCTTGGTTTCATAATCCAAGAATCCTTGAGTAGTAATGATTCCAGAGTTGGGGTCAATGACAAAGAGGTCACTATCTGAAGACTGCAAAGAATATGCAATCACAGCATTACTGCCAGAATCAGCATCTGTTGCATTGAGGCGCATGACTGTTGTTCCACTGGGGGCATTTTCCAACACGGTGGGAGAATACTCCTCTGGGATGAATACGGGAGAGTTGTCATTCACATCAAGGACATTAATAATGATGCTGCAATAGCTGGTCCGTGCCATCCATCCTCCATCTGTAGCACTAATTGTCATTTCATGTTTCTGGTGCAGCTCATAGTCTAGGGGTTTGGCTAGGGTTAATGCACCTGTTGAAGCATTAATTGCAAAAAGTCCATTTTCGTTTCCTGAAGAAATATGATAAGTGATTAGGCCATTCATTGCCGCATCTCGATCACGAGCAGACACAGTTCTGATAATGGAACCAACACTCTGGCTCTCAGGGACTGTTGAGCTCATGTGGTTTTGAGAGAACTCTGGGCTGTGATAGTTTTCCTCGGTAACAACAATTTGAACTGTGGCTTGAGATGAAAGTGGAGGGTTTCCTTTGTCCCTGGCAGTGACTGTCATCAAAAAGTTTTGGTTTAAATCAGACATCAGAGAAGAGGCAACAGAAACCCACCCCGTGGTGCTATCCAACTTGAATTTCTCCACAGGGCTTTCATTTGAAATGAAGTATTCAACTTCAGAATTTACCCCAAAATCTTTATCATCTATGGCAGTGACTTTGATAAGCTTTGTACCAACTCTTACATTTTTGGTAACAGGAGTGAAATATTTACTATTAAGAAACTGAGGGGCATTATCGTTACTGTCCACGATATTAATGGTAACAGTTGTCTCACTTAGCAAAGAAGGACTTCCTCTGTCTGAAGAAGTCACAATAAAACTATGTCTATTTATATTTATATTACTGGAACCCGTGACATTTCGATATTTTAAGGACTGCTTATTAAAAATTTCTCCTGTGGTGGCATTAATCCTAAAAAATTCAGATTGAGATTTAATGAAATAGAAAACCTGGCCATTGGACCCTTCGTCAGGATCCGTTGCAGAGACCTGAGCCACTTTGGCACCAATTTCAGTGAGCTCAGGACAGTCCAGGTAGTAGGATGGCTTCTTGAATCGTGGGGCATTATCATTGACATCTGTCACAAAGATAGCGACATCTGTGCTGACCGTCCATCCAGAGTCATGTGCAGAAACTCTGATCCTGTAACGATCAGTATCTTCCCGGTTGAGAGGCCGACTGATGATGATGTCTCCTGTGCTAGGGTTGATGGTAAAAGGAAGACTCGTATCTATTATAGAGTATCTGCTAACAGCATTCACACCAATGTCTTCATCTGAAGTCGTGACTCGAGTCACTGTATAACCAAGGGGGGCATTTTCAGGTACAGGGGCAGTAAAGATTTGGGAGAATTTTGGGGCATTATCATTTTCATCCAAGACATTGATGATGACCGTCACTGTGGTGCTCTGAGAAGGAGTGCCTTTGTCTGAACATCTCACTGTGAGTACATACTGGGACACTTTTTCCCTATCCAAAGACCTGATACTTCTAATTTCACCAGTGCTGTGATGGATATGGAAGCTATTTTCGGTATTACCATTGACTATGCTGTACTCTAACTGTCCATTGGGTCCGCTGTCTTTATCTATCGCAGAGACAGTAAGTACTGTGCGAGGGGAAAGATTTTCCAATATTTCTGCCACAAATGGGTCATCCTTGAACACTGGTGAGTTGTCATTGACATCTAGAACTGCTATAGCTAGTTTCTCATATGATGAGAAAGGAGGGAAGCCTGCATCCCTGGCCTCTATCCACACCACATATTTCTGCACTGTTTCAAAGTCCAGCTGTTGACTGATGGAGACTTGTCCAGTCAGTTGGTCAATGTGGAATGCACTTCCAAGATTGCCACTTGCAATAAAATAGGACAAAGGTTCCCCTCTAGAGGAAGACCCAGTAATGGTGGTAATGAGAGTGCCAACTGGTTGACTTTCAGGGAACAGAAACGTTTGTTGTTTAGCTCGAATCTGGGGGAAATCACCCTTATTCCCAAAACGGACAGTCACCGTTGTTGAGTCCATCTTTGGAGATAAACCACCATCTTTCACATGTACAAAAAATGTCATTTCTGAGGCTGTATTTAGGAGTTCAGCTGCCATAATTGCACCACGCAAGGGATCGATGTGGAATCTTTCAGAGTTTCTTCCAGTAAGGGAATAATGGAGTTCAGAATTGGGCCCAGTGTCAGGATCGGTGACAGTGACGGAAAAGACAAATGAACCTACAAAAGAGAGACTAGAGTCACTATTGATGCTACACAAATTGAACATTTTAGGGGTAAAATGTCATTGGGAGAGTAAAATATTTGCATTGCCTCCTTGAACTTAATCCTTCCCTTTGTACTGAGGAAAGACAATGGATCTTTTCTCTGCCTAGTTATCCTGGGCTCCAACAACTATAATACAACTTAATGTGGAGGGAAGGCATTATGTTTGCCCACATTCTCCACATTAGACATTAATGAAAGTTATGTCCCTATTTTCCAAAAAGTCACTTTTGCCTTTATTATGCATGAAGAAGCCTGAGTCTACATAGGCCATTAGATGAACATTTTTGATGTCTCTTTGAAAGATGCAGAGAGGAGTAAGAGGGGGTCCTTGGGTATCAAAACTTCTAGAAGACTATCCCAGAACACTTAGCTGTCCACAAAATATCACCTAAATGAAAAATTGTTCTCCTGCCCAAGGATTCAAATAATTTTGAAAGCCATTGTGTTTGCAAATACACAATCTTGCTAAATTAAAATAAACTACAATATTGAAGCAGTATCATCCATTTTCTAATTTGACTGGGTCATATCATTGGATTACCTGAAGGAGTAGGTGATGGGATGTGAGTGACATAGGGATGATGTTGGAATCTTGGTGGGTTATCATTGACATCTGTCACGGTGACAGAGACACTGGTGGAACTGGAAAGGGGTTCTGGGAATCCACCATCACTGGACACTACTATCAACGTATAGTTTTCTTTTGTCTCTCTGTCCAATAGGGCACTGGTGATGATCTGTCCTGTAGATGGATTGATTGTGAATTGGGAATTTCCTCCAATGAGTCTATAGCTGAAGAACAAGGGGAGAAAAAGAAGCACAGTTGTCACATAATTTCTTAAACAATAAAGACCCTGTGGAGTCCAGAAGACCTGGGTTTAAGTCCTGTCTCCAACATATATTAATTATTTGATCTTCACCAAGTCACTTTCCTACTCAGTGTCCCAGAGAACTTTGTAGATACCAAATTACAGATGAGTTGCTGATTTGATCTATGGAGGGAATTTCCATAATGAATGTCCCCATCACCCCTATCCCTGTTGATGAAATCATAGATAAGGGTTAAAAATAATTTTAGCATGGTTCTTAAAGGTGTATAGGAAGTGGAAACTAATGGACAGATTATAAGTGGTTCAACACATAAGGAATTTCATACAAGTAAAGACTATGACTACAAGAAAAATAATTCTAAGAAAGAGATGGTACATTGAAGATCTTTTCAAAGTGAGTTTATTAGACATATTTAATAAAATTAGACTAAGTGTAAGTATGTATCCATAAATTAATGACTAAATTAAATATATGGTTTGCAACTCTGATTTCAAATAATATATTTCTTAAATGAAAATAAACTATTTTTCAGTGTAATGAAAAAGGGCTGACCTCAAAGCAGGAAGACCTGGGTTCAAGTGCCATTTCTGAAACCCGAGGACACACATAGTGACTGTGTGACCCTGGGCAAGTCACTTAACCTTCTTAGTGCAGTAGGCAGTTCTCTAAGATTATCATTTCCAGAAAAAGTCCCAACTTGTATTAATGAAGTGAATTCCTTCATCCATGGAGATCCCCATACCAGTGAAATCATATGCCAATCTCTATCCCTATCCAACACCAGGTATACAACTCCAGAGAAGATGCATTGCATCCTCATGCTTCAATGACAAAGCTCTCTAATTACAACATTGACTGCCTAGGCAATGGAAAGCTTTATACATTCACACAGATTACTGGTTACTAGCTCCCTCATTTGTCATCCTTCCATTGACTTCTTATTTTCAAGAAAGATCAAACATCTTCACACATATTTTCATATTAAGCAGATTGCTTAATTAAGGTCTTGTTTAAAGTGGACAACTTTTGATTGAGGGTGATTTTTCCTGCTCATCATTTAAGAAAAAAAAAAATCACTGCTCCATCCAGACAGGTAGTTCATAGAGCATGGCAAAAAAACCTTGAAAAAGAGTAAAGGAAAAAAACCATCAACCTTCAAGACTCAAGAAATGGCTATAATGACATCTTAAAACAGACAGGTGGCAAGGTATCATTTCCTTGATTTTTTTTTCTTTCTACTTGTTCAAGTAAATGTTTCTCCCTGTTTCACAGGCTCCCAATTGTCTTGCTTGTTATTCACATGCATTTTATTCTGAATCCATGGAGAGATGACAAGCCCAATCAATCAATCATCAAGGATATATAAAGCATCTACTAGGCATGAGGTACTGTGCTACTTGCAGGGGACGCAAATAAAAAAGGCTATGCATGTTCTACTTCCAACTTCCAAGAGTTATGACAAGGCCAGTCTTTATTACTATTATTGTTGTTAGTGATTCATCTATAGGATGGATATTATATTACTTTTGCTACAATCATAAACCAAGAAGATTATAAACTGCTCCCTTCACTCTGCACTGATGAGACAACAAATCCAGGAGAGTATTAACTGCTTATTAAAACTTGGGTTCTTGCCAGTAATGTGCTAGTCCCCTGATCCCTCTCACCTCTTGGTGATCAAGGCTCTAAGAAAGCAGATATGGTCGCAGTGGGAGACAGAAAAAAAATGCTATGCCTCATTATAACTTTCATCACAACCTCTAACGACAAGATCAAGGTCTAATCAGAGCTCATGTACTGTAAATAGCACAGCAGCCTGCTCTGTTTACAAATGAAGCTGAAGGAAAGAATGAAGCTAAGCCAATGCTAGCCAGGGTCACTTTGAGCTATTTTAAAATTAAGATAGTGATAAGCATGACAAAACCCAGAGCCATTTGAGAGGTTTAATGACTCACTGGATAAATGAAGATGCACTCCTTCAAGGTCCATTAATCTCCCATAAAAACCCTATCATCAAAAAACATTATCAGCTAATTATTTTCAAGAAGCCAAGTGTATTAGCCACTCCATACACGTCTTCACACGAAATTGTTGTACTATATTAGAAGGCGTTCTGAAGGAAAAGTCCCAGCCCTAACTTTACCTCTACTTAGAGGAATGGTTTTAGGCATCCTCCTGGGGCACTTTGCTTTCCTCATTTGTAAAGTAGACTCCTCTGTTTGGCATTTAAAGCTCTTCATGACCTGACCTCAAAGTATTTGAAGTTTACAAACTGCTTTTCAGACATGATTTTATTTGAGCCTTACGGCAACCCTGACTTAAGCAAAACTGCCCTCCCTGGAGTTAACAATTCTCCATTGATAAATCTGATGGTCTTCTCGAAGTCTGAATCCTACTTCACTCTCAACTACATCTGACACTGTTGTCCCACCCTCTGCTCTTGGATACACTGTGCTCTCTGGACTTTCACAACTCTGTTCTCTCCTACTTTTCTTCCTATCTGTCTGACCACCCCCAGTCTCCTTTGCTGACTCATGATTCATATCATTTTTCCCTAACTGTAGTGGCTCCCCAAAATCCTTTGCTAAGCCCTCTTCCTCTTCCTTCTTCCTTTATATTTTAAGTTTTGGCGAACAACAGCTCCCATAGATTCAACTATTGTCTTATGATTCTCAGCTCTACATATCCCACCCATCTCTCAGTCTCATATCATCACTTATCCAACCAACACTTCAAACTGGCTGTCTCACAGACACCTCAAACTGAACATGTCCAAAAACTGAACTCATTTTATTCTTTCCAAAATCTCCACCTCTTTAAAAATTTCTATTTCTTTCAAAGGTATCAGATTGATTTCTTAGCAGTTGTTTTGTTAGATTTCTTTCTTTCTTTCTTTCTTTCTTTCTTTCTTTCTTTCTTTCTTTCTTTCTTTCTTTCTTTCTTTCTTTCTTTTTTTGAGGAAATCAGGGTTAAGTGACTTGCCCAGGGTCACATAGCTAGTAACTGTCTAAAGCTGGATTTGAACTCAGGTCCCCTTGATTGGAGGGTTGGTGCTCTATCTACTGTGCCACTTTACTGCCCCTTTGTTAGATTTCTAAGGCGTTAGCAAAGTATATTTTAACATATGTTTGTAGGCATACTTTTTTTTTTAAATAACCCCTTCATGTCTATCTGCTCTTGCAGGATCTTTTAAAAATAAATATTATAAAGTTTATGGATTTTTTTAAATGTTTAAATTAGTAGGTCATTAAAACTCATGCAGACTTTAAATTTTCTTTGCACTACAAAACTTTTTCTTATTTTCTTTTTCCTTCCTCCCTTCCTTCCCCCTCTCTCTTTTCCTTTCCCTCCTTCCTTCCCTTCCTCCTTTCCTTCCTTCCTTCCTTGGGTGCCTGAGGGTTCTGTGATTTTCCTTCTTTATTAGTTATTAAGTTTCTGGAGGGCAAGCATCTATATATGTCTTGTATATGTTAGTAGCTATCTAAGGAAGGGAAGGGAAGGGAAGAATTGAAGAATTGATGGTGTGTATAAGCAAGTGGTAACACATTACAAATAAGCGTTAAGCAGGAGAAGCTGAGTAAATTATATCATCAATGAAATTGTACATAGAGAAAAGACAGGCTGATTGAGACCAAGGGATAAAGTGATAGTCTGTGAGCTCCAATGGTATACTTATAATGTCAAGAGAAAAAGAGAAAGGCCCTCACCATGTTGGTTAGACTCCCTGGGGCATAATGCTGAGAGGATATGGATAGCAGTCACATGGCGTAGACAGATATGGATGGGTTGTAAAAATATCTTAGTGAGATTTAAGATCCACTAGAGTCTGAGAGTACCATTTTATCATGCCCTTAAGTATTTCACTCCAATACTTGTGAATTCTTAAAGCTCATATCCTTTAGAAGAAGAAAAGTGGAAGAAATGAGAAGGCCATTTTTGACTCCATCATGCTGGGCTGTTTTCTGCAGGACTGAGTTAAGCAGCATTAATAACTAATGTAAAGCCATTTTGAATTCCCTGAAGAATTCATCAGTCCACAGTGGGTAATGCTGAAGCTGCCACTACCACTTATTATCTTCATTATGTCTATACAGGAAAAGGTTGGCTTCAACAATAAGAATGTATTTAATAAAACAAAATAAAATACAGAAAGGAATACTATTTTTGGTAAATAAAATCAAACTAACATCTTTTGGTTGACTTCAGGAGGAATCCCATAGTCTCATTTTCATTTTTTCAGTTTTGTAGTATAAATCCTAACTATAAAATGTTACTATGGAGATTTGGTAGGGCAGGAATGCCACTGGCATTACGCAGAGTCTCTCAGATTTTCAAGGCTTTTGACCTTGGGGGAGCTTCCTTCTGCCAAGAAGTTGTGAGGCTGAGATGCAAAGAAGTCCATCTGAGAGGCAGAGAAGAGAGGGAAAACTGTAAGGCCACTGGTCCTCCAGGCTTTTCTTGCTGGCTCAATAGGAGATTGGAGGGTGGTAGAAGCTGACCTTGCAACAGATAAATAGGGAAAGCAAGTGGAACGAAGAACTCATGGCTTGGTAATGCATGAATGGAGGTAGACACTGGTGGGCCAGAAAGAGTGGACTAGAGGGGTGAGCAGACTATTTGATTTGGAGGGAGGGGTTAATGAGATTATAAGAATCTAGCCTACAGTACCTGTCTTACCCTTACATTCTTTGAAATCTTCTTGGAGCTCCCATATATACACTCCACTTTACCTGTCTGATCACTTTCTGCTCTGCTCCCCCTCTCACAGATGGAAAGAAGAGGGAAGGGGAAGGGGAAGGAAAGAAATCGAACTCCTCTTGGCTTCATATACTATTCCACCCTGTCTTGTTTGCAATGATCGTTCACGTTCTTATACTATTTGAAATTGCCATGTGAGTCCATTGGATGTGACCAGTTGTAATTACTTTAGTACACGCCTGAAAGTTTCCATTTTAAATTGCAAGATGGAAAGCTAACCCAGAAGTGAGAGGAGATCTTGCTCAGCTCACGATGAGGTGGACATGAAGTCTGAGTTGGGGAATTTCTGTAATTTAATACACTTTATGTCCATTCATACCCCAGACAGCTTTATGAACCCAGAGAATGATTTAACAAGGAAATGAGCCAGTAGCAGGAAGAAATGGTGGCTGCTGTGTTTGTTCGGGTAACTTTCTTGCAGACATCACTTCAGTCAACCTCCTGCCTGGCTATAGCATGTCTCAATAAATTCAAATGTAAAATTTAAATCTCAAGTAATCCAGAAAACTGTGAAACTACAAGTCCTGAACCACATCAGACCTACCAACACCAAAAAGAGTCTGAGAACCCCATTATAGCCTAATGCTTCCATGCCCAGGGATATTACTTTGCATGCCTAACCAACTTGGGCTATCCCAATATAACCAGTTCATTGGCTCATCATGGATTAACAAATGATAATTGATTATGTGCTTATAGCATACAGGGGTAGGCCATATGTCCTTAAACTATTTATAAGCCTCAGTGAAGTAAATATGGCAGACATTGGTACTTGAGGGTAGCTAGCAGCCTAAATAAGTTGTACTAGAGTATTAGATCTGGAGTTAGGAAGATCAGGGTTCAAATCCTACCCCTACCCTGCAGCACTGTTTTTCCTAGATAAAATGTAAGCTTATTGAGGACAATTATTCTATTTTTGTCTTTGTATTCCCCCACCTAGCACAATATCCAATGCATAGTAGGTGCTTCATATATGATTGATTAACTCTGTGTGCATGTGCATGTGTAGGTAAGTTACAACCACACTGAATCTTACTTTTAAAATAGGGATAATATCCGCAGTACCATCTCATATGATTGTTCTGAGGTTAAATAAGGTAAGATATATAAACTGGTTTGGAGCCTTTAAAGTGCTATTTAAATATTGGAATTTTGTGACTAATAGCTATAAAGGAAAAAAGAATAAAATTATATTAGCCAATGCACATAAAAATAGCTCATATAAATGAGGTAATAGATGTAAAACTCTTTGCAAACATTATGGCATTATGTAAATATCCACTATTATTATCATTACTCTTGTTATTGTTATTGGAATCATCTCATTCTTCTTATCTAGTTTGATGGAGACTAACTGGAAATTAGCGAGCACTGGGTTCCCATGCTACTATTATTCTTTTGTGTTGAATGGTCACTGAACATTTGCACAGTAAGATAAAATGACTACTTTTTTGTATTTGAATAAAAATACGAGAGGTACAACTTCTATTGTTTCATTGAAAACACTTTTAGGACTCATCTAGTATCAGACAGGATGATGGGATGCCATGTACCATATCCTGCTCCCACATGGTTTTAATTTCTTCTGTTAGGTTATTTTGCAAGATTCACATTCCACATTGAGTATCTGGCCTGGTGATGCCTATTAAAATATTTTTCTAAAATTTTTATGGATCATTGTGATGTCCAGGTCACTGTGGGCATGAATTCTATCCGTAGTAATGGTCCACTTAAAGTATAATTTATTTTTAGGGATATTTTCTTGTCTGTGTCTGTAGTATAGGAATTTCTTATCGGTTTTTGAAACTTAGTGATGTATGATTCTAGCCACTAGGTTGTGTCTTGTTATGTATTCAGTAAGTGCTAAAAGTTTTTACTCTACAGGGCTGTGTTGAATAGTTTCCATCATTCCCTTGAATGATGTGAATTATATCTGGACTGCTTAAGGATAAGCTTTTCATTATGATGATATGATGTTAATTGTGATCTGCGACCAAAGACATAGAAATGTCCCTTGATCCAGCCCTTTCAATATGACAAAGCCAATCTGCTTCAAAGGATATGTAACCCCATTAAATGTGTTAATTATTGTCACAAAACTTTAGTTGACATTTAAAGCCTGTTAATAAGGGCTCTGATGAGTTGTTCTCTTTATATCATTTCTTCTACCTCTGAGTCTTTGTGAATGGCAACCTACATGCCTTGAATGCCCCACCTTCCTCATCTCCGTCTCTTAGAATTCTTTGCTTTCTTCAAGGCTCAGTTCAGACACAATCTCTTATGGGAAACCTCTCCTGATCCCTATTTATAATCCCTATATTTGCTTATCTGCATGTTATATACAGGGCAGTTAGGTGATGCAGTGGATAGAATGTTGAGCCCAGAGTTAGAAGACTCAGAGTTCTAATCTGACCTCAGAAATGTACTAACTGGGGGACCTTGGGCAAGTCATTTAACCTTGTTTACTTTAGTTTCCCCATCTATAAAATGAGCTGGAGAAGGAAATGGCAAACCACTCTAGTATATTTGCCAAGAAAACTTCAAATGGGGTCACAAAGAGTCAGACACAACTGAGACTGAAATGCTGGTATATACACTTTCCTCAGTCCTTCATGATTGTAATTTCTTCCTTCTGTTTATTATTTCCTATTTGTCCTGTTTAGTTTGTTTGTACATATCGTTTTGCATTTTGTCTCTCTCGTTAGATTGTGAGCTTCTCAAAGGCAGGGCTTCCTTTTGCCTTTCGCTGAATCCCCAGAACTTAGCACAGGGTCTGGCACACAGGAGGACCTTAATAAATGTTTATTGACTGAATAGCATGCAGTAGATTGTAAGCTCCTTGAGCGTAAAGACTATTCTCCATTATGCCTTTGAATCCCCAGTGCCTAGCATAGGGTCTTTCATACATTGGGGTGATTAATTAATGCTTGCTTAATAGAATTGAATTTATTAAATATCCCTCCACATTTAGCTCATGTTTTATGATGACTTATACTTTTCCACTGAATAGGAATCTAATAAATCAAATTCAATCACATTTTGCAAATCTTAAAGTGTCCTCAACTACCTAAGTAGTAGGTAGTAGGCCTAGTCTTTGTATTAGTTCTAGTAGTAATCTGGAGGAGAAACTGGCCCTTTGGTTTTTCTCTGGAAAAGAATGTGCTTTGCTAACATCCAGCTAATCCAAAGACATTTAATTTCTATTTAGGGAAAAATATGGCAAACTATAGAATATCTAGAGGAGGGTCATCCAAAGGGTTTCAAAATCAGACAACAGGAAGATTAATCGGAGGAATAAAGAATGGTTCACCTGGAGAAGAAAAGTCTTGGTGGTACTGGGAAGTGGGTTAGGGGAAGGGAGGGCATGGTAGACACCTTTAAATATTGCCAGGAGCTATATGGTGGAAGGATTAGACTTTTTCTTCCTTACCCCAAAGAGTAGGAATAAAAAAATGGCTGGAATTTATTTCTAGCCAGATAATAGTCAGATTGAGACTTGAGGTCAGTCAATCAATATGCATTTATTAAGTTCTCACTATGTGACTAGCATTGTATTAAATGTTGAGTATACAAAGAAATGCAACTACCAATTAGTTATGGAAAGTGAAATGAGTCACTTCAGGAGGTAGAGGGTTTCTCTCACTGGAGGCCTTCAAGCAAAGGTTAGGTGCCCACTCAGTAGAGATCTTTTGAGAGGATTCTTGTCCAGGTATGAGCTGGTCTTGATGACTTCTGAGGCACCTTCCAACTTGGAGAGTCAACAATTCACCAAGATACAGTGATCAATGTCCATGAAGTTATGTTTAATAGACCATGTACGACCTGGGCTTTTATTCTAACGAGGATAAGATACTAATTTGCACAGAAGTAATGAGCAATTGTTGATAAACAGCTGGAGTCAGCTCAAATCTGAAAGTCAACTGTTAAAGTTTCTGTGTGAGTACTTACACCTCAGAAATTAGCAACATTACAAATCAGGGCTTAATTTATTGTTTTGCTGATTATCTAGATTTAAGAGAGTGATAGAAAAATGTTAATAAACCAGGTTAAACTTAAAAGAATGCCTTGTGCATATTTTTGCCAGAGAGCTGGTTGTTAAACATATGCCAGAACACCCCTGGTGATATGTGACCACAGAGACCATCACATGACCAGTAGAAAGGCATCCTACCTGATGACCGCATTTGTCAAAGCATCCGTATCTGAGGCATTCACAAGCAGCACATCTGACCCAGTTGGGGCATCTTCTGAAATGGTGGCAGAGTACATCTTGTGGGCAAAGGTAGGGACATTGTCATTGACATCATCGACCATGACATTCACAGTGCCTGTGCCAGTGAGGGCAGGAGACCCTGAAGGAAAAAAAAAAAGCAAATAAACCAACAAAGGCAAGTCTTAATGCTGAAACAGTATGATTGATAATGCTAAAGAGCTGTCTTAAATGAGATGACAGGTAGTTCACATTGTCACATGAGCTATTGGTTCTTCTCTATAGAGTACTTTTCCTCTTCCATTTCTGTACAGGCTGTCTACCACGTCTAGAATGCACTCCTCCTTTTTTTCCTCCTTTTGGAATCCCTAGCTCTCCTCAAGGTCCAGATAAAATACCTCTTCCCTAACAAGGATCTTCCTGGTTACTCTAGTTGAAAGGGTTCCATTCCCAACCCCACAAAAAATTTTTCTTTCTTGAATTTATTTTGTATATTATTTATATTTGTTTGACTTTATAAATTATTCCTCCCAAAAGAATGTTAAATTCCTTGAGAGCTGGGGCAGTTTCATTTATTTTTTCTTTCTACCGTCATCCCCTATCATAGTGTTTGACACATGGCAGACATGAAGTAAATGCTTATTGAATTGAATTATGCTGATATTTAATCTGAACATTAAAGCACAAGTGAGCCAACCAACTTCTAAGAGACTATATGAAAAAAAAAATTATAGCGATGAGCTAGAACTTAGGAGAATTATATCAAATCAAGTCAATGAATACTTACTAACCTTCTATAAGAAGAATAGAATCATCACTCAGACATTTTTAAACCTATGTTCCCTTTAACCAAAACACAGTCTCTTCACATACATATGCACTGCTATGTAAATCCATATGTGTGGTTGCATGTATAGGTATAGTTAGAGGTATTGGAACGAGTATGAGTGGAAGCATAGTGTAGTATAGAGACAGCTGGCTGCAGCATCAGTAAGGGACTCAAATTCTAAAACTGCCATGTGTATGTGTGTATATGATGCATGTGTATATGTATGTACTCGTTAATCAGTTATTTCAGTAGTGTCTGACTCTCCATGTCTCCCTTTGGGGTTTTCTTGGTAGAGATACTGGAGTGGCTTGCCATTTCCTTCTCCAACTCATTTTGCATATGTGGAACTGAGGTAAACAGGGTTAAGGGGCTTGCCCAGGGTCACACAGCTAGTAAGTGTCTGATATGAACTCACAAAGATGAGTCTTCCTTACTCCAGGCCCACACACTGAGCCACCTACTTGCACATATGCATGTATATGCATGTACATACATGTGTGTATGTTGACAGTATGCTTATGTGTGTGTGAGTAATTACATATTACCTCATGGAGAGTTTGCTATACCAAGAAAGTCACAATTTGACTACTCACTGAGAGTAGGTCAAAGACATGAGAACAAATAAACAAGAAACAAAAATCTCCAGTGTGCTTTGAGCCAAGGACTGAAAGGAATGATAACATATTTAAGTTTATAGTTTCTGTCTGTCCGTCTGTCTGTCTATCTGTCTTTGTCTCTCTGTGTGTGTCTCTGTCTCTCTCTCTGTCTCTCTCTGTCTCTGTCTCTCTCTGTCTCTGTCTCTCTCTCTCTCTCTCTCGTTTCTCCTCCCACCTCTCATATTTCCCTTTCTGTCTGTCTGTCTCGTTCTTAGGAATTAAATACAACCAGAAGACACCATGTGACACTAGAAAGATCAGGCTCTTCAACTGACCCCCAAAATTTATATAATTTTACTTTGAAATATAAATTTTCATCCTCCTATCTTGGTTTGCTTTGCTTTAAGAATTTTTTTAAGCAGCATTGTGCCAATGGATGCAACTTGGTCCTTCGATGTACTCTTAAATTCTAATCCTTCTTAAGCAGCAGCACTGTTGGATGTCCTGACTCACTAAGGAGCGTGGACGCTAAGGCCCACTTTAGGTTTTGATCCTTGAGATCCTTCCTATACTGAAGTGTCAATTTCTATAGGACTAAAAATTTCATCCAGAAACAAACAACCTAGTGGAGGAGGAGTAAGCCTAAAACATAGGTTAAAGATTCAAACAACAGCCAGGGGTCAAAGGTGTAGAGACAGTTGGTCATTGTAAACATGAGGCTCCAATTAAGCCCAAGTCACTTCTGGTGAATCCCAACATAATCGAGGGCAGTGTTCAGTTTGGGCGAATCTGATCATGATGGATGACATGGGTGGATGCCTGTTAGGGCAGGCTTATGTAGTTTCATCTGGGATTGATTTACAGGAACCAGATGCAGTCAGAAAGAAGGGACAAAAGGCAGTGGAGTAGCTGCAGTGTAGATAGAAAGTCAACTCACCAGGAGTATAGGATGTCGAAAAAGCAGCAAAGTTTGCCTGACAGCTGTTGAAATGTGAAGGATTGGGTTAATGCAAGAAGAAAGGAGGCCAGCAGAGAAAGGGGATTCAAAATTCAACTTTACAGCATGTGTGTAGATCGTGGATTTTGCTGATATACCTCGAGTGGGGATGTGAACATGGGCCAATGGTTAGAAAACCACTGTGATGATTAGCCGCAAGTCACAGTAAACATTTTCAAGTCTACATAGCTTGTTAGTAGGAAGGGGATTAGGGATAAATTTGTACAAAGCTTGTATGATAGCCATAGATCACATCTACATGGTTCTGTGAGGTTTTCAAAGCTCTTTACTTATGTTATTTCATTTCATCATAATTAAGAACTATAGCTAAGAAATATCAAAGCACTTTACACATACATGTCATCCCAAAAGTCTTAGTGCAGTTTTATGCCATATTATAATTACATAGATCTACAGATATAAAATGCACTAAGACTTTTGGGATACCCTATATTACCTCAGATCTTCACAACAACCTTTTGAGATAGCTGCTATTATTATACCTCTTTTGCAGATAATAGTAACTAATGGCTAGAATTTATATAATGCTCTAAGGTTTGCAAAGCACTTTCTAATATTATTTCATTTGAGTCTTACAACAACCCTGGGAGGTAGAGGTTATTGTTATCCTCACTCTACAGATAGGAAACTACCCAAGGTCACACAGCTAGCATCCAAGGCAGGATTCAAACTCAGGGCTTCCTGACTCCAAGTCCAATCTTCTATCCACTGTGCACCTAGCTGCCTACAAATGCAAGTACAGTGAGGCTGAGAAGTTAAGGAATATAGCTAGTGGATGTCTAATCTAAGATTCAAACCCAAGTTCTCCTGACTTCCAGTCCAGTGTCCATCTACTGCTTATGTTACCTCCCACAGTATTCATGCTATAACCCAGTGGTTATTTCCATTGTACTTATATATACTTCTAGGTCTTATATGGGTTATAGTGTACAATCCTGGGATACTCAAGTCATTCTCCCAATGAGGACTGAACTTCAACACCACTCAAACATGTTTTCATATCCTGAATGTCCAAATACAATTCAATTTTAAATATGTTTGGAGGTATCAAATAGCAGTTACTATAACCCAAAGAAATATGAATTAAAATAACATTGACTCAGACTTGTGACAGGTATGAGGTGAAGTCTCTGTAGCAACATAAAGTCAAATCATAAGTAGGAACTGGAAGAAACAAAGGACCAATTTGAAGAATGAAATTCTCATCCAAGATAAATATTTCAGTGGGAATAACCCAGGAATGCACATCTGTTGGCTTCCTGTATTGAACTGCTAGAGGCAGGGGGGTTGGCACTGCATTCTGGGACTTGGGCATAACTTTGGAGTGATTTGTCTTGTGTAGTCACTAGACTTTATGCAAACCCATAAAATGCTAAAATATATTTTTCCAAAGGTGGACCACTGAATTTAAGGCAAACATCACTGAAGTACACACAAGTAACACTTTATAAAGTGAATCCTCCAAAGGCAAGGACAGGATCATAAATTTAGATGTGGAAGGGTCCTTAAAGTCCATTGAATTCAGTCACCTTCTTTTCCAAATGAGGAAACTGAGGCTCAGAAAAAGCAGGCCTACCCTCGGTACCACTCTTCTTCTCCATGCTGTAAATAATTCTCTTCTAGCAATAGTCATGTCCAACATGAGAACTCTCTGATATGCTATCCTACCTTAGGCTTTGTTCCTGTGAGGCTCTGTGCCACCCAAGAAAATGCTAAGCAGCAATTACACAAATGTGTCTTCACATCAGTACCCAATAAATCAGGGCATGATGACGGCCTGGCAAAGCTTTTAGTGAGGACCTTTGCAGAAGCATCAGTACCTCCCTCCCCCATCAAACTGCAATTTCCTTTCTCTGCTCAAGGCCAAGGTTGACCCTGGTGCTCCAGGCAGATGTTCAAAGTCCCTCATTAGAAATGCTAATGAGTGAAATTTCCCCCTCATCTACTGATCAGGCTGTCATAGAGATGACCCTTGGTATATCAAGTTGACCTGAAATTTTCAACAGAATAGTTCAGCAACTCTTCTGCCAAGCATTAAAAGATAAAGGAATAAGGAAAAGCGAGTAACTGAGCAAACACAAATATATACATACACACACACACACATACATACACACACACCCCTATATATACATAGGTATATGTATAGGTGTATATATGTCTATATAGGTGTGTGTATATATGCATATACACATACACATATACATATATATATACATTGTGTGTATATGCACACCCACATACAAACACACAAACACCCACACCTGCACTCATATATACATACATATATATATATATACATATATATGTATATATATATATAATATATCCAATTTCATATATTTTTACATTGGAAGATCATTGAACTTGGAATTAAAAGACCTGGATATGTCACATCACCCTCACTAATTCAGGTATATGACTCTAAGAAATGTGTTCAATTCAGAGAGAAGTCAGATTCATATGCTGGCCCTGCTACACACTACCTGAGTGACCTTGAGCTGTGGGCTTCAGTTCCTTCATCTATATAATGAAGTGACTGGAGTAGTTGCTCTCCAAGGTCCCCTTCCAGCTCTAAATAAGAGGTCAGCAAGCTATGGCCCAAGGGCCAGATATAGTCTACTACATGTTTTTGTATGGCCCATTAGTAAGGATTTTTTTTGGCATTTTAAAATAGAGCTTTATTGTATTTTAAAATG